TACTAGCTGTTTGATAAAATGCCTAAATGGCCTAAATTATGGAATTTGTTACTAATATTGGTCCCATTGAATGTTTCTATTTTATATTGAAGTTTTTTAGTGTAGTGGACCATTGTAGTATCATTAAGGGGCGAATTTGAGGTATGTTGGCTAAACTTCTCTTTTGAAATCGAATTCCATGATGTGCCCGTAAGTTTCAAGTATGGTTGGCCCAAGTTCCTAATTCCCATGTTCCGAGTCATTCCTTATATATTTGACTATTCCAATTATGCTTGTGTTGGAAGATATATACTAAAAATGTGCACCAAATTCTCCTATCGTCTTGTGTCCTCCATCGGAAATGTATTCTAGTGTGACCAATATGTCGAGATAGTATGATTTCAAATCATGTTTAAATTGCAAGTTGTTATGCCCAATTATAAAAAAAAACTCAATGCGCCTAAGACCCCAATTGTTCATATTTATGCTTAAGGCCTTGATTCCAAATGCTCTTATCGATGATGATCTATAAATATGTTTGAAAGTGAAAGAACTGAGGGTGAGATATAAAATGTGGTTTTGTTTGTTGTAACTAGTGCATTTGATTTGAAGTCGTGTTTAAATCGTAAATTATCATGCTCATCTTTATGAATATTTTCGATGTGATTTGAGTTCTTACATACTCAACAGTTGAAATTGTGTATTTCCTTCTGTGATAATTCAAAAAGATATTGTGTATTTTCTTCTGTGAAGATGTAATTCAAAAAGATATTGTGTATTACTCGTTTATGATTTTTAACTTGTGTTATGATTACAAGTCATTGTGCTCCATACTTTGGAAAGTGATCTATTGTGATTGAAACCTCCACTACTGATGAACTTAAAATTATTATTTCTGAAATATTCTATATGTTGTTGTTTGTGATGATGATCATGGAAAGTCAAGGAATGAAAAATGTGAAATACGAAATACGACCAACGTGCCATGAATGATGAATCATAAGTATGGCCAAGAGAGCCAAGAAAATAATGATGTTGTGAATAGTTGAAAGTACTTTAAGCACTAATTTTTTTCATTCTTAATTTTTTTCATTCTTATCTTTATTTTCACCCTTCTATTTCTAATAAATTCAACTTAAAGAAAAGTCTAATTAAAAGTTCTTTTTATAAATCAATAAAGGTAAAACTGTTTGAATCTTTATCAGTAGCAGACTAAAATGTCAGTTCTCATGTGAGTTAACACAATTGAAAAGAAGGTATGTAGAGACAAGATAAAATGTCTTATTATAAAGTTGTCGATGGTAATAACCAATAAGGAAATCAGTTTATTGACATGTGAAAGGGCTAGACTTATGCGACTTTTCCTTTTTTTTTTTTTACCTCAAAGCTACATCATTTGTGCATGTGAATATGAGATTTCGAAATTCTTAATCATAAAAAAGGACAATCAATATGTTACCTCATATTTTCGATTCATTTTACTGTTCTTGGCTACCTTTGAGACCTGAAAGTTGTAATTTCTTCTATTATTCCATGTGCATCAAATAAATGTTGCCTGCTGTGATTTGCTTCCAAATACCTCCCCCCTTCAATTTAAGAAGACAATGTCCATTGATTAACTATGTTTTCACATGTTAAGTAATTTATTGGATGGGGATTATGATTGGCAAATTCTATTCCTGCTTTTATTTAATATTTCTAATTGAAAAGAAAAAAGACAATGAAGTGAGTCAAAATGGATTAGTACTCATTGAAGCCCTAATTAGGTAACAATAGTCATAAAGAAAAGGAAACTATAGATGATTTATACATTACTAAAAGTTCGATGACGAACTATCGTTTTACTGAACATTCATGTATAAATCATGAATAAGTTATAGATCAATCTTACATGCCATTGTTTTTTATGGACAGTGATGGTGGGATGGAAGATGGCCTTTATTCAGGCTGTTCTAAATCATCTATCCTAGGCCGCACAATGATTTCCCTGATAATCACAAAATATAAAAGTTGTGTGGACAATTTTGCTCCATTAATTGTGTGCAACATGTGTTAGTTACCGCTTAGAAGTACTTCATATCTTTGAATTAAGTGCAGAAGGCGTGGCGTAAAAACTAACTGCTTTATTTAAGCATTACGACTTGGCCTTCTATGGAAAGCTATGATGCATTCAGAATGCAAGTTGTTGCTGATAGATTATTGGGATTGGTTATAGCAATAATGGTTTGTCGATAATGGGCTCTGGATATTGAGCATGATGGTAGAGAAGACGTTGCATGCTGATGTTTCAACCATATAAAGAATTGAAATATATGATAGTTATGCCACCAAGTTTTGCATTGTTATGTCTCACTTTTGAACTCTTCTTCAAAACACTATGATACAGTTATGTGGTAATCTAAATCATGTGATACTTATGCAAGAGGACCAATTGATGTAAGTCCCTTACCGTAATATACATAATCTATTCTTAATTATCTATCACCATTCTTTAATATTTTTACATGTGATGATATTTCAAAATATATTGTTGAATGAAAATTTATTGTTTCATATATTATTATAGGCAGACACCACTAACAAAAATGCTCGTCAAGTAGTATTTATCAGTATTATGAGTCATCTCTGGCCTACTGGTTACGTTCACAATCCACTGTGCCCTCTATGGAAATTGTTATGTTTTGAAATGACTATATAAATAGTAACTTTTGGCAGGGGTTATCGTGCACTCTGGTGGTGGTTATGCTTTGTTCCTGTAACGACTCGGTCGGTCGTTTTGTGTATTGTAGTCTCGTTCTCCTATGTATCGCTTTTTTTATGTTCATTTGTGATTATGTGACTTGTCGGGGTAATTGGATTGGTTTCGGAATAGTTTCGGAGTGAATTGGAACACTTAGTTCCAATAGATATTTACATAGAGGTAATTAGAATAATTGACAAAAGCCAAATATTTATGCCCCTATTATCTTTGAGTGGAGGTCCTCGATTTAAAAAAAAAAAAAATTGGGAAGCGGATCTACTGGCAAAAAAAGGAGCTGAGGAAAGCTTTTCGAAAGATTGAGGATTTTGGTAGTACCTCCGGTGATCGCTACTGCAACTGTCTGGGCAGGCACTTTATGAACTTATTTTGCCTAGACAAATACCAATATGTAATAGTAATGGCATATATATAACTAACATTGTTATGTGCTCAAATGACCCTCCTAACTCGTAGTACTATCTGTTTTCTTACACTTTAAACACGTAAGCTATTGTTTTAATTATAAAATTTTATTATATAAGAATACATTATTTTTATTTTTATTTTTATTTGTTCTTCCTCTTTAAATTGTCTTAAATTACTTAATTAGATGAAAATTCATGTGTGTAGTAATTGAGTCTTATCTATTGAGAGCGATTACGAAAGAAACCTTTTCATGCCGGAGAGTATTGGATCAACAGTCCTTGTTTCTAGTAGTTATCAGTTTGTTTTTAGTATTTATCTCTTTAGATTAGATGGCATTTATCTTCTAGATTAGATGATATTATAGTTAGGCATTCAGAGGTATCCCTTTGATTTAGATAGGATTCGTCAGTTATTTGGTTTACATTGAACTTTTTTTTTTTGAATTGATAACGTTAGTATATATTAATAATGTGAGTACATAGGTTGTACTGGAAACCATTTTTACACGTAAATGCTAGCTGGATGTGCTAGTGTGTAATCCTAGCAAGATCCTAGTATGTCTAGGATTGACAGTGTATCTTCTGTGTAAATCTGTTTACACCAAAAACAAAAAAGAAGAATACAATTGAGTTTGATCTTCTGCACTGAGTTGCTTCTGTCTTCAAAACATCTAGCATTCCTTTCTTTCCAAACTGTCCACCAGATGCATGCTGGAACAGTCCTCCATCTATCTCTGTTAGTTGCTTCAGCTCCAGCTTCTTCCCAACTAAAAAGAACTTCAGTAATCCTGCAGGGGCATTGTCCATGAAATACCCCTTAGACTAATAAAAAATTTTCATAGTTGGTATGTTATCTTGCAGTGTAGAAATAGATGGCTAACTGTCTCCACATTTTCCCCACATAGAAAGCATCTTGAACACAAAGAGATTCCTCTTTTTATGAGATTATCCTGGGTTAAAATAGCCTCCTTTTCTAGTAGCCAAGTGAAACAAGCTACCTTATAGGGAATCTTGGTTTTCTATATATGCTTCCATGGCCAATCATTTATCTGTAGATCACTTTGATTCAAAATCTTATATGTTGCCTTCACCTGATAGACCCCTCTGTTGTGCCTCTGCCACCAAAGTGAGTCCACCCCTTCCTGTATTCCTTTGAATGCTTCCAGCTTGTTGTAGAGGTCAGTTAATCTTGCTATCTCCCAGTCATACAACAGTCTTCTAAGAGTGAGTTCCCAGCCTTGAGAAGTCCACATTTCAGCTATTGTCTTCTGTTGGTTTTGTGCCAAACCAAACATATCAGGGTAAAGTTCCTTTAGGAATCTATGTCCCAACCAGTTATCATTCCAGAATGATATTTTTCTTCCATTATTCACTCTAATGAAAGTGTGATTCTTCATTGTAGGCCAAAGTACCCTGATGGATTTCCACACACTAACTCCATATGATGTGCTGACTTTCTTTGACACTCAGTTATTTTCCTCACCATACTTAGCTTTGATCACTTTGCTCCATAAGATTTGGGATTCTTGAGAATATCTCCATAGCCATTTTATTTTGAGAGCCTTGTTTTGATTCTTCAAGTTTCTGATTCCCAGACCACTTTGCCTTTTCGCCACTGTGAGGGATTTCCATTTGACCAAATGGAAGACCTTTTTTTCCTTATTCCCTTGCCAAAGGAAGGATCTTCTGAGTTTGTCTAATCTCTGTATAACTCCGGTTGGAATTGGGAACAAGGACATCATGTAAGTAGGAAGTGAGTCTAATACTGAGTTGATTAAGACTAGCATTTCCCCCATTGATAGATATTGTGCTTTCCACCTTGATAGCTTTTTCTCACATTTTTCAATAACTGAGTTTCAAATCTCTTTGGATTTAGATCTTGCACCCAACGGCATCCCAAGGTAAATAGTAGGTAGAGACCCTACTTCTCCTCCCAGTACAAATGTCAGTTGCTCCATATTATAAACTTCATTAATGGGATAAATATGGCTCTTTCTCAAGTTGATGTGGAGTCCTGAGATTCCCTCAAACAGAACCAAGATAATCCTCAGAAACCTCAGTTGCTCCTCTTCAACATCACAGAAGACTAGAGTATCATCAGCATATTGGAGATGTGTGATCTCTAGACTGTTCGATCCATTCCTGTCAACCTCAAAACCTTTAACCCATCCATTGACTTTTGCTGCCTTAATCATGTTGTTCAGGCCTTCCATGGTTATAATGAAAAGGAAGGGAGATAAGGGATCACCTTGTCTTAGACCTCTATAAGCAGGGAAGAAGCCTTTAGGAGATCCATTTATGAGAATGGAGAATCTAACAGTAGAGATACAGAATTTTATCCAATTGATCCATTTCTACCCAAAACCCATTTGTTCTAACATTTTCAGAAAGATGGTTTACATTGAACTATAGAAAGATGGTTAATGTAACTTGTGTTTAAACTCATTGAGGCATTCAATAATAGATACAGTATTTCCATCAATTCAAGTGTTTATATGGTATCATGACCTATATTACTCTAACGAGCATGATCCTATTTTTTTTCACACACTAAATTCTCCAATGACGAAAGATGGAAACACAACCAGAGTTGTCAATGCCGACAACACTGCTGGTAACATCACCATAGTTCAATTCAACCCCGCTTCCCAACTACCTATCAAACTTAGTGGCAGTTATAATTTTGCTACTTGGAAAGCTCAGTTCTCCATGCTTATGCATGGTCATGACCTCTATGGTCATCTTGATGGATCCACCCCAGCTCCCATTCCGAGCACCACTTTTGGAACCAAAAACAACCCCTAATCATGCTTACACCCTTTGGTTCCGTCAGGATCAACTTATTCAAAATGCCCTTATGGCTTCTGTTGACCCTACCATAGCCTCCAGAGTTGCCGCTGCTAACACATCAAAACAGGCTTGGGACTCTTTGCACACTTCCTACGCAAACAAGTCCCAAACCCGAATCTTCAGTCTTCGTGATCAACTTGCCCGAATCACCAAAGACACCACTCCTATCACCGAGTACCTTCAATGTATTCGGTCCCTTTCAAATGAACTTGCTATTGCACGTGCCCCTGTCACTAATTCCGAACTCATTGTCAAAATCTTCAGTGAACTTGGCTCTGAGTTTTGTGAGATCTCCGCTGCCATACGTGACACTACAACTACCTATGAAGAACTATATGAAAAGCTGCTTGACCATGAGCTCTTTCTTCATCATGAGGAAGCTAAGAAAACCACTGGTCCTATCACAGCAGCGATTGCCACTCACAACAAGTCAAACAACAACTCCAACAGTCGCAACAATCGCCGACAATATTACAACAACAACAACAACAACAACAACTCTAAACCATGGCGCCAGAATACTCGCCCCAATACTACCAGCTAGTATCATCCCCCAAACAATAACATCATTGCTGTTATTCGTTGTCAATTATGCAACAAGATTGGCGCTATTACAAGTGTTTGCCGATCCAAGTCATACAATCACTTTGAGGCTAAAGTCAATTACATCACAGGCTTCAACACTACTGCTAACCCGTGGATAGTTGACTCTGGTGCCACACATCACATCACAACGGAGCCGCATAACCTACAATTGTACCACGGTAACGAGGATGTCTTCATGGGTGATGGTAACAAAATTTCCATCTCACATACTGGTTCTACTCAGTTACAAGCATCAAATAATGTTTTTAAGCTAAATCATACTTTATGTGCTCCAGCCATTAAACGCAATCTTATATCTGTATCCAAGTTATGTCATGATAATCTAACATCTGTTGATTGTTTTCCCTTCTTTTTTGTTGTGAAGGATCTGAAAACGCGAACCTTGTTGGTGTACAGCCGGAAGAAAAATGGACTGTATGAGTGGCCAATTCACATCCACAAGCTCACATGTCTACCACTACAACCTCTCTAACCACTTGGCGTCAAAGACTGGGTCATCCGCATTCTAGAGTTATTAATTATGTCTTGAATAAATTCTCTCTACCATTTGTTGAACGAGATAAATTTCATTATTGTAATTCCTGTTTGTCTAATAAATCCCATCGGCATCCGTTTCACACATTAACTTTGCAAATGTCCAAAACGTTTTAAATTATTTTTAGTGATTTGTGGGGGCCCTCTTATGTTTTGTCCATTGATAAAAAAATTATATTATTGCATCTTTGTTGACCAATACACAAGATACATGTGGCTCTACACACTAAAAAATAAAAGTGAAGTCAAAGAGCTTTTTCAAAATTCCACCCTTTAACAGAAAAATATTTCGATACCAAAATCCAATCGCTTTACACTGATTGTGGGGGAGAGTATAAAAGTCTTGACTCTTATCTCTCGCTTCATGGTATCGAACTTCTTTCCACCCCACCCTATACGCCTCAAAGAGTTGCTCTTGCTGAACGTAGACATCATCATATTATTGAAACTACAAGAATAATTTTATATGAGGCGTCTCTTCCACCGATTTTTTGGTCCTTCGCATGTCACCATGTTGTGTATTTAATTAATCGCCTACCCACATCACTCTTGAATAAGTCCTCCCCGTTTGAAAAATTATTTGGCAAGTCATCTGACTATCCTCTCTAAGGACTTTTGGATGTTTATGGTATCACTGGCTTAAATCATACTCTAAAAATTAAACTTGAACCCAAGTCTAAACCATGTATATATCTCGGGTTCTCTTTGTCCCATCATTGTCATCAGTGCTTTGATCCTATTTCTTCAAAAATTTATTTACCACGAGATGTACAATTTCTTGAAAATAATTTTTCATTCAAAAGTTTATTCTCTAATACTACTATTAGACCACTAAGTTAGATTGGACAAATACCACTACTGTTGATTTACCCAGTTCCACCCCCAATCTTTCCCCTAGTTTTGATTTGCCCCCTCTCACTAAAACACCCATCCCCCACGTAATAGATGATTCCTAGCCCATAACGATACCTCCTCCCCTCTCTCTATTGAACATGCCTCAGTCCACCATATCTGGCGTACCACCAGCGGCAGATGCGGATTCCCCTCCTTCACAGAGTTCTACTCCAGGTATGTGTACTACTCCTCATCCAACACTAATTGCCCAAGACCCCTGCTGCCCAGACCCATCCCCTGCGCCTACTGTGAGACCTTAAGCCTCTAATCCCTCTATAAAATCACCTACTTCATCAACCAATCCGCCTCACATCCCCACTCCATCTCTGATAGTATACCATCGTCGTTCCCCATACCCCAAATCAACCACTTCAATGGCACCTCCCCCTGCTCCGCCACACATACCCACCCCTCCAACTCGTATAGTCACCCGCTCACAGAATAACATCCAGAAACCAAAACAGATTTTTGATTACCCAGCCTACTCAAAACCATCTCTTGTACCACACACCTTTAAACAAGCCCAAAAGCACCCCATGAGTTCGAAATTTGATGCTTTACCAAAAAACCATACTTGGGAACTAGTTCCATATGACCCCTCTAAGAATGTTGTTTCATGTAAGTGGCTTTTCAGGATTAAAAGGAAAGCAGACGGGTCAGTTGATCGTTACAAGGCGAGATTAGTTGCAAAAGGATTCACTTAGAGGTTGGGCATTGACTTTCACTCGACTTTCGGTCTGGTGGTTAAACCCACTAATGTACGAATCATACTTGTTGTTGCCCTTCAGTTCGTCAATTCGACGTCAACAATGATTTTCTTCAAAGTGATCTTGAAGAAGAAGTGTACATGACGTAACCCCTGGGCTTTGCTTGTGTTGATAATCCAACTTATATTTGTAAGTTGCGCAAGGCAATCTATGGCCTGAAACAAGCACCTCGGGCTTGGTATAATGCGTTCAAAGGCCATCTTGCCCACATGGGATTTTCTAAGGCCGAATCTAACAACTCCTTATTCATCAGAATTAGTCATGTTGGTTTCATGTTTATTTTGGTATATGTTGACGACATAATAGTGACCAGCAGCAACCCCATCACTGTCAATGAAGTTATAGCCTCTCTTGCCTCTCGCTTCTCCATTAAAAATTTGAGAAATCTCAATTATTTTCTTGGTGTTGAGATGGTTCGAAACACTGATGACATTATTCTCTCGCAAGCCACTTATATCAATGAAATCCTGAATGATGAGTTGATGGCTGATTGTAAGAGCGCAAACAGATCAGTGAGTGCTTCTGAGTTGCTCAAACTCAATAATGGGGCTCTGTTAACTGACGTGACTCGCTACCGTCGAGTCCTGGACAGACTTCAATATCTGTCTTTTACAAGGCCGGACATATCTTATGCAGTCAATAAATTATCCCAATTTATGCAATCACCATATTATTTTCATTGGAAAGTTGTGAAGCGAGTTCTTAGGTACCTTCGTGGTACGATCAAGTTTGGCCTACGTGTGTCCCCAAATTTTGATTTCAATTTGTGCATGTACTCTGATGCGGACTGGGCTGGAGATCTCACTGATAGATCTCCCACATCTGGTTATATTCTATTTCTTGATAGCAATCCTATCAGTTGGTCCTCTAAAAAGCAAAAAATTGTAGCTCGCTCATCAACTGAAGCTGAATTTAGAGTTGTCACCAATGCACTTGCCGAACTATTGTGGGTCAGAAACCTATTGCTTGAGATGAAACTTCCTGTCAGAGATACCCCTACAATCTACTGTGACAATATTGGTGTCACTTATCTAAGTGAGAATTCGGGCCTTCACAGTCGCATGAAACATATTGAGGTGAACTTTCATTTTGTGCGCAACCATGTTGAACAAAAGGTGGTTCGAGTTGTTCATGTTTATTATGCTGACCAACTAGCTGATATGCTCACCAAAGTACTAGCCAAACCAGCCTTTGAATGCAATTGTTCAAGTTAGGCTTAGTGACACATAGCCTAACTTGAGGGGGCGTATTGGATCAACGGTCCTTGTTACTAGTAGTTATCAGTTTGTTTTTACTATTCATCTCTTTAGATTAGACTACATTTATCTTCTAGATTAGATGATATTATAGTTAGGTATTCAAAGTTATCCCTTTGATTTAGATAGGATTCTTCAGTTATTTGGTTTACATAGAACTCTAGAAAGATGGTTACTGTAACTTGTATTTAACTTCATTGAGGCATTCAATAATAGATACAGTATTTTCATCATCTATTCAAGTGTTTATAGAGAGCGATAGGTCGGTTTGAAGAGGAAGCTTGAAAATAAATGGAGAGCTCATTCATTCATACCCAAAAAAAAAAAACGCTCACTCACTCGTATTTGAAAAGGCAGGCTGAGTATCTCTATCGATAAGATTATATTTTTTTTTCCATTCTTAAAAAGGAGAGTATATCGACAGTCCTTTAAACATTTTACTTTGGCACTCAAACTTACGTTCCATTTGACCACTTTAATCAGGTCTTTGTGTCATTTAGACACAAAAGGCTAGGCAGTTATTTTTCACATTTTTCAAGCGTGTGAAATCATTCAAAAAAACAAACCTCACATACTTATGAAAAGCTTTTGCCGGATAAAATTAACCGTGAAATTCTCTTTTTCTAATTTCTTAGATTTGTTCAATCGATTTCTAGTGTATCCTCATTCAGATATGGGCATACCATCACCACCACCTTTAAATCCAACAACTACCATAAACTTCTCATTTTTCTTCTCGTTTTTAAGATTCGATTGGTTGTTGCAATTCTGGCCGGAAAAATAGCATTTCAATATGAATTTTTTTCTTCCTCAAATTTTCAGATCAGCGGCTTTCCTGAAAGTTTTTGGCTTCCTTCTTTTAGATTTAGAAGTTTTTTTAATGTTTCTGCATTTCTTTTCTATGCATTTCCCTAAGGATCTTTTCTCCGTAAATTTTTCGTCCTCTTCCCGCTTTTCTTTTATGTTTGCCTGCTTATTAATTTTATATCTAAATGACATAGTAATACTTGATTAAAGTGATAAGCACCTTCCACCTCCAATTAGGGGTGGCAAGTGGGTCGGGTCCTTAACGGGCCAAGTGGGCCGGTATCGTGGGCTGCGGTCCCGGGCCGGTCCCGATCCTAAATTAAACGGGCTAAATGATTCCGGACTAAACGGTCTTTTTGTAGGAATCGACCCGGGATCGGGCCCATGAATTCATGGTCCCGGGCTAAACGGATCGTGCTAAGTGGGATAAGTGGGCCCAACGGCTTAGTAGTGAATTTTTTAAAAAAAATTAAATAGAAATTAGAGACAAAAAGATGTTAAAAAAATATCTAAGGCAATGCCTTGTAAATTTATTATATAATTGTGATCTAATTTTTTAATTCAAATTTAACGACAAAAATATTGTAAAAAGATATTCAAAGCAATGCCTTGTAATTTTATTATAGCAATAAAAAATATGGCAATATCTTTCTTAGTCTTCCTCCCCCCTATGGAATGAGCACAACAAGGTGCTAATACCACCATTGAGAAGAAAAATGAACTAATCAAGATGTGTCATAATAATAGACTTAAGAGTTGGAACGAGTTTACCGAATTGACGAATAACTTGTTGAAAATTGATTATCGTTGAAGACTTGAAGACTTCAATTCACCAACTTCACAAATTGTAACAACCTCAATATATTTTGACTAATTTTTGGAATAAAGTAAGCAATATTATTAAGTATAAAAGAAAATTAGAGAGAGATTGTGATTGATTGATATTGATTTTATTAGAAAATGAAAGAATGAGGGGGTATTTATAGTTGAAAATAGGGAAAAGTGTAATTATAAAAAGTTTGTAAAAAATATCTGTTGGGCCCGCCAAAGGACCGGTTCGGTCCCGGTCCTAACGGTTCCTAGGCAAAAATCGGCCCACGAGACCGGCCCAAGCCCACCTCTAGCGGTCCTATCGGTCCCGACCCACTTAGCGTGCGGGTCTGGATCGGGCCCGAACCGGCCCACTTGCCACCCTTACTTCCGACCCAAAGGTCGTGGGTTTGAATCACCAAGGGAACAAAGTGAGGAGCTCCCAAGGGGTAAAAAAAAGACCCAATTAAAGTGTTCAATAAGATTGAAGTAGAGACAAGTTTAAGGAGAAAAGAAAGAACAAAAAAACTGATTGAGTGTTCAAATAGAACGAGCTAAAGATCGAGTGCCAAAGTGGAAAGTTAGACAAGTTCAACGGGCTGTCAATCTATTTTGCCTTCGTAAAAGCCTTAATAAGTAAATTGCATTCGTTTCCATTTAAGAGTCAAAGAAACATATATTTCAAAAAATAGTTATACTCTTCTATATCTAAAGCTTAAATAAAAAATTCAAAAAGAATTATCCTTTACGACGATTTCACTAGAATAATAAATAAAGACCCCTTATTTGTAAGTTTAACTTATATTATGATAATCATATTTTAATATACGTGGTCAAACATATACCTCATAGGGGCTGTAAGTGTAAAACTTTCATAATATAAAGAATATAAGTGCTTGATTCAAAAATACAATGAATACATTCAAAATTAAATCACATTATAAGAATATTTACCAAAATTTACTCGCAACAAATATATATTTATGTCAGGTTACAAGGGAAGCAAAAAAAGTAAGAACAGCGATGAGCCTCTTCAATAAGAATGATCACGTGATGATGATACTAAATCATGGATAACACAATAATCGACAAGGAACAAAGAGAGGGGATAAAATCACGTAAATTAAAGTTTACAACAGCAAAAATGTATTTGTATTTGAGATGCAAATTTCTTTTTGAATTATGATGAGAAAACTGGTACTAAATGGATAAAAACACTTAAATTAAACACAAAAAATCCAAGCAACAAATGAAAATATAATTTAAATTCACACAAGTATTACAATAATTAATAAATTTTTAACGTTATTCTAATAGTAGTTAACTTAAAAAGAATTAAAGCAAAACCGAAAAGTCGGTGACCTTCCGAATGGTGTTTTCCGGAACAACCTCTAGACACTACAATTATAGTACCCTAAGTTGCTCGGACACGGGTGCGGGTGTCCGACACGGGTGCGGATCTAAAGGTCGGATCCTTCGAGATGTAAATTTTAAGATTCGGGGATATGGATCCTAGTACGGATACGGGTGCAGGAATCCAACTAAAAATAATTCAAAAAAATATATAAAAATATCTTTAAATTATGATAAATTTTGTGAAATATTTAAGTATATCTTGTAAAGTGTCGATTTCTTTTTATTCTCAAATTATAGATAAGTAAAGAATTAATTTCTTAGATAAGGTATGCTATTTTCTTCAAATTTATCCTAGTTTTGGTTCTGATTTTGGGAATCAAATTGTATCTCGTGTCGAATATTTCCGTCCGTTGTGATCAAAGTACCCAAAATTATTTGACCAAATCCGGTACAGATCCCATACCCACACCCATACTAGTGTCGTGTCGACACGGGTGCGGCACCTAAATTGCCATGTCGGAGCAACTTAGATAGTACCTCAACTTGATTATAGAGACGTACTAGGTCCTTCAAAAGATTCCCGTTCCTGCGCCTCCAATCGCGCGCTATGAGTTCTTTCCAGTAATTTCAGTACTCGCGGATCAATATGAGGTGTAAAACGCCGAATATTATCTTCAAATGATTCCAATTCTTGCCTTAGGACACAGAGTTTCACTGTATTGTCTTCTTGGATGTTAAGCGGAACTTTCTATTTGTAGCGAGAGGCACTCATCATTTTGTTTAAGTTTTCATATTGCCTGCAAAAGAAGAAAGAGTTGATACATCATTACATGGCAAATTGAACAGCTTGTAAACTTCATATTATAAACTGACTCAAATTTCACAATATCCACTTGAGGCCGAAGTCCACTTTTGAACAAAAACAACTGAATGACAAAAGGCCAAATTGCATCTTGCACTATTCTTCAAATGGATGCACTAATTGAAAGCACTGACTTGCAGACACGAGGGAGGGATAGAGGAACATGATTTCCCATTATAAAAGAAAAATCATGCCATATGTATATTAATATCTATTGATACCCAACATCTTCCTCGATGTAGTTCAATGACCTCTGCAACTGACCAGATTGAAACTTTGGGGCCCAAAGTTTCAGTGACTCAAAGACGACAAACACCAATTTCCTGTCTCTTCAAAGCTGATATGCTTTAAATACAGATTCAAAAGGAAAAGTGTCTAGTATACTTCTGTTCGATAGAAAAATCAGATAGTATAGCATCAAGGAGAAATTCAAAGGCATAATCAAGTTTTGCAAACAATAGCACCAGAATATGAAATTCACTTACTTCCTAGTGTCTTTTCTCTTCTTTATGAGCCTTTGAATTTCAGCCACTGGGTCACAAGTAGTCCCTTCTCCCTCAAGAAAAACCGTGACAGACTCATCCACAACCTCTATCAGCCATTCAGTCGGAGCTGTATCACCGTTACTTGAGACCTGAAGAAAATTAATGCAAGAAATGTGGGCTGTAAGAAAAATAAGAAAATATAATAAAAATACATGCATATCCCATCCCTCCAACTTAATAGCCACTAAAAAGTCGACTCATATGCATATTACATACGATATCTAAAAGGGCACTAGTCTCTGCTGGTCCTCTATTAGGGTTACCGAGGTCATTCGTAATTTTCCACCCAGTTCAACCATCCACACATTTAGTGTTTGAACCTCTATTTGCCTCACCAACCACTGCCCCCACCAAAAGAAAACCTATACTAAAATGAAAAGCATAGGATGGTCACTCGTGATATTGATCGGGCATGGCCTTATCATTTTTAACTGATAATCACATGGTCTTTTCTGCTATTTCCAGCTTCATATCATGTGGAAAAGGAAACGAAGAAGTTTCATATCAAAAAGAACCAAGCCAGACATAGAAAGAGATACCTGCAAAGATGACAACGCAGCTAGAGTGCAAATCTCCATTTTGCGGCTTCGTATGAACTCCACATTATCATCCGCCCAGCAAAGCACAAATGCTTTTCGCCTAAGGACAGAAAGATCACCAGTCATTCTGCTGAATGTTTTATGAAACAGCTTTTTCCTTCTCAAAACAAACTATCATATCAAGCAATACAAAGAAAGCCTAGCATATCAATCTCTCTAACAATCACTTGCGTGCATCATCAAAAGGTGTATCACTTACTGAATGATTCACCAACACATAATCAAACAGATCATAGCACGCTGGTATCCTTTGCTCAAGTACCATACGTTATATATGTGGAATTTAGCAAAGGTCCCTAAAGAAATTACAACTCAACAGACAAACAACAATTAAAGCAGTATGAAAGCTGAAGTAGCAAATTCTAATCTTCTAAAGATGGGTACTGAAGATAGATATTACGAACAACTAAGTTGAGAGGTTGCATTAAGACCAACCTCAAAGGTAAATTCAACCTTCTCACAGGTCTAATAATCACAAAACTGATATGGACCAACCACATATTCGATGGACATTAAATTCAAAAGTGATCCCTATGATACTTTAACAATCTTGTGTGGACTGCACATGCTCATCATCAGTGATGAAATTTTTTTATTAATGCTCAATAGACAATGAATAGTAAACATAGAGCTTTTATAACATGGAGATCACACACCATTGGACACCATATAGACTCCCTCGAAGAGATAGCAAAAGAAACCAGAAAATGGCACTTGAAATGCTCTTTATACGAAAAGATAAGTTCACCTGGAAGACAGAAGATACGGCAGAGCGTTTACCTTGCGAATCTCTCCTTCGGAGGCAACAATGCCCTCTTCGACCTCAGACCTTTAACAATGGACAACACCTTTTCCATCCCAGCTTCTACCCAATCATTATTCCAGCCCTGAAAAAGTGAACAGATGTAGAGCAACAGTGTCAAAAGATAATATAACAATCATGCAGCAGCTAGCAAGCATTATATTAAGTCCTGTTTTCCACTACTAGACTCATCTTGATAAGCTACCTTTTTTAGACCCTCAAAGCAAGTTAACCTATTCCAAATACATATTCTTGAAAAACAAATTGCCTACATAGGTTTATTTATGAAAAATTTAACAATGTACATGCATGATGCCTACTATGTACATTGATTTTTCAGAAATTGATCCCATACAGCTCTGAGTAACCATTAAGACTCGAACATCACACCAAAACCAATGCCGAAAAGATCAGAAGAAAAAGCTAAACTTTGACCTCAGTCAAATAAAAAGAGGAAGCATACATCGAATTTACTTGACAGCCACCAACAGAGGTAACATATCTATTTGCTAGTTCTGGAACTTAACATTTGTGCTTAAAGCATACCTCTATAGTTGCAGGATAATCACTTATCACAATAGATTCTTTCTTTATGGAATTTCCGCTAGCTGGAAGACGCTGCCATAATTCTTCGGAGACAAATGGCATAAACGGATGGAGTAATCTCAACCCGTTATCTAAACAAAGCCACAGGGTGTCTTGAGCAAATCTTCTTGCAGATACAAATTCTGGATTATCACCAACAAAGTATGGCTTGATTACTTCTATAAACACATCACACAACTGGAACTGCCAAAACGAATATACTGCTGTTGCTGCATCGGAGAAGTCATAAGATTCCAGGGATGAGACAGTTTTCGCTATGGCCTTGTTAAGTGCTGAGAGTATCCACTGGCAGATAAAAGGCATTTCACGAGGAACTATATTTGTTGGAGGCGTGTAATATTCACCCAGTTTACTCAAGGCAAACCTAACGGCATTCCATAGTTTATTACACCACTGACGATACCCAACAACTCTCTGGATATCCAGATTGATTTTATCAGACTGGAAGGACAAATTAAGAAAATTAGTAATATCCAAAGAAAGTAAAAAAGGAACATCTTATTAAATTTTAAGAAATGTTACAAACCTGAGCAGTATATGAGACTAGGGCAAATCGAAGAGCATCTGCCCCACATTCAGGAATACCCTTAGGAAAGTCCTTTGCCTGTCCCTCTTTTGCACTCTCAATTTCTTTGGCATCCAGGTTACCCTCCTTTAATCTCTCGTGAAGATTATCAAGGGTAATTCCATTAATAACTTCAAGAGGATCAACAACATTTCCCAATGATTTGGACATCTTACGTCCCTGTGCGTCACGGATCATTGGATGCAAATAAACCTGCAAAGTATGTTAAAATGAATAAGATTTATTTTGATCTCAACAGAAAGTTCAAGTTACTTAACTGCTTCATGTGAAAAAAGTAAATATGGCCTCACACAACTGACATTAGCTGCGAGGCTTCTTTTTGTCTCACAAGTTAGTGGACCCATGGACCCAAAAGTGTACGATTTGGGTCCACCAATTTACGAGACAAAAACAAGCCTCACACAACTAGTGTCCGTTGTGAGACACATAATAAAGTTTTTCGCATCATGTCGATAAAACACAGATTCTTTAGTTTTTTGGCAAGTAGATAAAAACAGATTACTAAATAACTTTCAGTAGCACTCCATTTAAAAATCTGTTTTAAGCACTGAAAAAGCCATGGATCGTGGAAACATAGCCACTTTCGTGAAAAAGATATCAACTGCTCTTAAAATAGATTAGGATCATACTCCACTTATAGCATAAATAAGAAAAATTGGCTTTTCTATGAGGGATATGATGAAATTTGCTAACCTTCATAAATGGTACATCACCTCCCAGTGTTATCGCCAACATCACCATACGTGCAACCCAGAAGAAGAGAATATCATGTCCAGTTTCAATAACGGACGTTGGATAAAAAACTTTTAAATCTGCAGTATCATCTGGCCACCCCAGTGCAGATAATGGAAAAAGACCAGATGAAAACCAGGTATCCAGCACATCTGGATCTTGAGAGAGCTCAAGAATCGCCTTCCCTGGAAATTTCCTACAAGCCAAATCTCGAGCCTCTTCTGCATTTCTAGCGACGATCCAGTGATCATCACAAACACCAAATTCCTTCTGCTTATCATCATGCAGTGTCACATACCAAGCAGGAATTCGATGACCCCACCAAAGCTGCCTTGAGATGCACCAATCACGAATATTATCAAGCCATCTGCATGTCCATCACATGGAGGACAACATATTTTTAATCAAATGATGAATCAAGAAAAAATAAACGGCTTAAAACAAAATGTACAGGGTTTTTATGTTTAAATTCCATAGAAAAACCACAACCAAGTTTTTCGCATCTATATCTGATGCGATACTTGCACAAAAGTAAATGATAGAGTATCCATTTTCCACCACGAACAAAAGAGAATAACAATCAGAAGAACCTAAAGCAGTCATTAGTCCCTCCAAAATGCATTAGTTCAAATATGGGGAGGGCAGTGGGGCACACAATTTAGCATCTCATTTAAACCTTTGCATTCATTTAACCAAAGCATTTTTGGGGGCCAGATCCAACATTACCTTTTCCATTCAGCAGCATATTGTTTGGGGATGATCTCCATCTTCCGGTTATCATCATCCATCACAGCATCCAAAGCCTGTTTGGCCATACTTTTGCAGTTGACAAACCACTGAGGCTTTACAAGAGGTTCCACTACATCATTGCTTCTTGAACAAATCCCAAGGCGCATCTCGTTATCCTTGACATCCCTGTAGAGACCCTGTAACACAATTCAGACATCGCATCTAAGCCACAGTCAACTCAACTAAGTTTCGTCCAGTTATCCCAGGATACTATTTTTTACGTACTATACCCCATGTTTACATAACACAGCTTCTTCTTGAGGTTATCCTCAAATGTAACCCACGTTCATAGGTAAGAAACTTAAGAACAATTCAAAAGCCTCATGAACTCGTAAAGCTAAACTCAAACAAGATGTTACATGTCAAAAAGAAAAAGTTGGAACAGAATGTTACTCACCCAATCCCAAGTAATTAAATACTCAAAATCCATCTCACTTTAAGTCATTGAATTCTACTAGGTCTGAAGTATAAGGTGTTAATTTGACTCGTTTATTATATGCTCATGTAAACAACGTTAACAAAGAGAAACACAAAGCAGCTAGGCTGGGGCACTCATCGAACTAGAAGTTCAAAGATGGAAAACCGCTACCCAGGGTTCTGGAGATCTGCAAATAGATTCTCTGTTACTGAGACCCTATGGCATTAATTTTGTTAATAAGCTGAATGCAGCTCACGACATTCGAGTATTAGTTTCCCTAGTTCTGAGTATGTTGGTTGCAATGGATGCAATAGGGAATCACAACCTCCGCCCTGATAAATGACATTTTCTACTTCCAGGACATCCAACTGGGTAAGTTGAAGTGTTCAACTGAGAGTTTGGTCCAACTATCAGTGTCTATTTACGTATTTTGCATCAAATTTTTTGTGAAGATATTTATGGATTTTTTAAATGCAAGACCTCATAAACTTGACAAATTTCTATACATCAATACATGCACACAAGTCCATTAGCATTTCAATTTCAGCTAGGACAGTACATAAAGTTATGAAGGTACCTTTTCCTTTAAAGCTTCAGCCACAGCGACACGAGCTTTGAAACGAGGCATTCCTTCAAAGTCTGCACCCCCGTTGCTATTTATTTTCCCATCATCAGTAAAAATATTTATGAATTCAAGTTTGTGACGCTGTCCAAACTCAAAATCATTTGGATCATGGGCTGGAGTTATCTGCAAGGATATTCAAAGAATGGTCCAAAAAGCAATGATGAATATCTAGAGAGAGAGGCAATTGTTCCTTAACATTCAAAATATAATGATATAAAGTACCTTAACAGCACCAGTACCAAAGTTCATATCTACAAGTATTTCATCACAAACTATTGGAAGCTTTCTTCCATTGAATGGATGAATAGCAAATTTCCCATGAAGGTGGCAGTATCTTTTGTCTTCAGGATGTATAGCAATAGCAGTATCACCAAGCATAGTTTCAATTCTGGTGGTTGCCACAACGATTTCACCAAGCCCACCTTCCAAGGGGTAAGCAAATGATGTCAGTACCCCAAACTCCACAGGCTCTTCATATCCAGGGACCTTCAAATGTGTCTTCTTTTTTATGTCTGTGTATTCAACCTACAAACAGAAAGCAGCTTGTAAAGTGTATATAGAGTATTTACTACACCATCTAAAACTTGATCATGAAGGGCCATTTGCTCACCTCAATATCAGAGATTGCGGTACGCAAGACACAATCCCAATGCACCATACGTGGAGCCCTTGATAGATGATAATTAAAGTTAATACAAAGCCAAAACCAATTCAAAAACTTACGCAAGCAAAGAAAACGGTAGCTTCCACGCATAGGCAAGAAGACATTCACATGCACATAACGAGGAGAGAAGGCAAACAAAAGAGGAAGAAAAAGAGCTACCTACCTGTATATAAGACCTTCATTGGACAGCCTAACAAATGCTTCAGTAACAGCCTTAGACCTTTTCTCATCCATGGTAAAGCACTGATTTGGGAGAACATGTTGGAGCACAATATATAAGTATAACTATAATAATTTCAGGATTTTCTCGACTAACGAAGAAAATGGTAAAATCTCGATTCATACCTCACGAGACCAATCAAGTGACGCACCCAGGCGACGTAATTGCTTCAGTATAGTACCCCCATACTCATTCTTCCAATTCCAGACCTAAAAAACATCAACAAGTACAATTAATAAATATATGGGTGCAATGACTTGTTAAAAATTAGTACTTGGCTTCCTTATTCAACTCTTCAGCAGAGACCTTGTCTCAGACTGACAAAGCAGGCAAGGCAACAATTGGAAGGATACTACAGCCAGTAAAGTGATTTTTGATGAGAATGAAAAGCCAATAATGATAACACTAAGAAAAGTTAAAGACATTAAAAGGATGTTAGCACTTCGCAGCATATACTCACTTCAGATACGAAGTTCTCCCGACCAATATCATGTCTAGTCAAATTCCTCTCCCGCATGATCTTCTTTTCCACAACAACCTAGATTCAGCATCCACGACACAGAATTAGAAATAGCATATAGGAATGCAAAGAGCAGAAACGACCATGTTATTGTAAGTAAAAATAATTGAATAGCCTTAAAATCCCTGCTATACCACGTTTCAAATCCCTAACAAATCTTTGGGAAAAAATTTAGCGTTTTAGGAACAGTAAACTGACATAAGGCACTATCTTATTTTTTTTAACTTTTAGTAGCAATTTTGTCCTTGACTCTGATTCATCTTGAAAAAGACAGCAATTTCAACAATCCTCTATAAGTAAAAATTTATTCAAGTTCTGATGATATGACTGTATCTAAGTAATTGTCGTTCCGTAAGACCGTAATAAAAAATCTTTTTAAGATTTTCTCCAGAAAGTTAAATAATTCGATTTGGATAAACTTAAATTCTCATATTACAAATATCCTGAGCTGTCATATCGCATCATGGTAAACAATTCCATAAAATATGCCTATTTGAATCATTTTCATTATTTAAAACATGTTAGTTGCTATTTATCTTTCTTATGTTATTTTTCAAGATACTATATGAAATACATACAAATACACTAGTAGACAAAATAATGTTGGCGTCTCCAATTGGTTTTAGTTTATATTTTGACACAGATCATAAATAGCACCTTGGACTTGGTTGCAAAACAAAAGGATACACTAGAAGAATAGCAGCTTGTTGGGAAAGAGAGAGAGAGAGAGAGAACTGCAGCTTGGTTTCGAAGGGGGACGGGAAAAAGATGAAACAATGAGGCTGAAGAAGATTAGGCATGTTAGTTTAGTAAAATATATTAGAAAGTATAAAAGTTACTAAGGATAAAATGATAAAGTTCTTGCTCAAACTAAAAGTGTTTATAAGCTGAAAAATCATAAGTTGGGGTGACCAGCTTATGGCTCTGGGCTGATTTTAGCTTATAAACACTTGGCTTATAAGCAATATTTTTACCAAACGAATAGATAAGCTAAAAAGTGCTTATAAGCTAATTTGAGTGGCTTACAAGCTTAGCCAAACACCCTCAAACAAGAAAATTGGTAATGCCAAGATTTGACATGTTTGAGACACAACCTGGGTTGCGATTCCAGCATGATCCATCCCTGGGATCCACAAGGCATTGTATCCAGACATTCTCCGCCAACGAATAATTGTATCCTGCAAAATAAAGGTAAAATATAAAATCTGTACAAATAGATGAACACTCTATACTAGGCTCGATGATTCTAATACCTGGATGGCAGCTGTAAGTGCATGTCCTATATGGAGAGCGCCAGTCACATTTGGTGGGGGCAAGACCTGCATATAAGCAAACAGGTAAGCAGCTTGGGAAAAGGAGTCCAAGTTAGACAAGGTACACAATACCAAGCAAAACTTTCATCACAGTTTATTTCCCCTTCCAAATTATTAAGCAATACAATTCACCAAGTGATTGTCTCAGATGAGATGATACCACTTAAGTCCACCATTATAATACTCTGGAAAAACTTTATTTTAGCTTTTGGGCGCATATGCACATTAACTGTAAATAAGCAAATGGAGTGTTATTGATGACTCGGAATTCCATCCAGGCAACAGTTTGGTCGTGGGTATTGGTGGGTAATCAGGAGAAAAAGCCTCCCCAAAATGTTTGAAGACGAAAAGGATATACTTAGTCCTAAACTCAACTCTTCTGTTTTGCTTTCTTTTTGGAACAAAATGGTTTTTGTAAATGATTTTGACTGGCATGTTTGACTTAATTAGCTCACTGCAAAATCTATGTAACATTCGTCTCTACTCCTTTCTCAAACTATCAGCACACACTTGATACTAGTCTGTATTAGTAAAATAACACATTATCAGAAACTAAAAGAGTAAATAGATTTCCCTCTGATTGGAAGTAATAACATTTTCCCCTTTAAAATCCTAGAGAAATGAGGCTGATATTGACAAAGCTATCGAAGAATACTCAAGGAAAATGAGCAAATACAACTTTCCTCTATTTGTTTAGAGCATTTTTGCTATTCATGAGAAAGAGGGCAAAAAAATGATTTCGAAAACCTACATCATGAACACCAAAGCACGGTAAGATAACAAATAAAAGGTTCTATAACTACATATATTCAAACGTTAACATCCCAAGTAAAAATGTATGTTGCTCGGACTCTCTAAAAGTATTGTTGCACCCGTGTCGGATCCTCCAAAAATGCACTAAATTTGGAGGATCCGACACATACCCAACAACATTTTTGAAGAGTCCGAATAACATAACTAAAAATTGCTATGTCGTGAGATACCAACATGTGCTTCACCTTAAAAAGCTCTCTACGAACTCAAAGTACACACAGTTCCTATATGTCCTATATATTCATTCATACCAACATCTTCAACTAGAACATCATATGAAGTAAGATGGTAAACTTACAATCACAAAAGCTGGCTTAGAGCTGTTTGGGTCAGCAACAAAGAAATTGGACTTTTCCCACCATGCATACCACCTATTCAAGTTAATATAAGGAATCATGATAGTGTGCTAACAAGAGAGCACTCTTTCCTGAATTGCTAGTATTTCTTTAAAAGAAATATAAGTAGCACGTAAAGGTAGAAAAAAAAAACAATTTCATACTCACGATTTCTCTACAGCACTGGGACTATAAGTTTTTGCCATTTGACGGGAGAGCTGCTTCTTCTCTCCCAGGGGTGTCCCTGGATCAACAAAATCTTCATAATTTTCCTCTTCACCCTCCATTTTTGAGTTCTTCTTCTTATCCTTCTTTGACACATTGGAAGCAGCTTGTGCCTTAATACAGACGAACCATGTCAGAGAAGCTTAAATAAATTAGATAAGACTAGAATCAACTTTCATAATTTATCACTATGTGAGCTTGCTGAAGGTCTTGTAATAGCTGCACCAAGAGTTCAGTAATTTCTTTTCCTTTGAAAAGAATATGTAGAGAATGGCATAACAGAAACAACTAAGCCATTCCACCAACACAGACATTTATGAAATACACAAGTATCAACCATAACTAGATAAATAAGCAAAAATAGTTTTTTTTTTACCTGTTTTGCTGCTTCCACTTTTAGTGCAGCCTTGAGTTTTTTCAGTTCTTTCTCTCTAGCCTATCACAACCAATAAACACAAAAGAAACACTTAGTAAATGTATGACCAGCACACACATTAAAAGTAAATACATTAAAAGCGCAAAAAAGATTTTAAACAATACTATCTAGAAAGCCAACAGTGTTTCATGCTACTAGCAGTAGCATAATCCCTCCTCTTCCTACTATATCCAAGAAGGCGTGTGTCTGGTTCTTTATGTCCCTATTTATCACCTAATTTAAGTTCAAATTCTAAATTTTCCTTTTTTTACCCTAATATTTAAGACTAGTTTTAGATCACAAGTTTCAAAAGTTTTTCTTTCATTCTTAAATTTCATCGCCAATCAAACATCACCATATAAAGCGGGACGGAAGGAGTATCCATTTTAGAATATTTTGAATCAATCAATTAACTGTGTCAATCCTAAGTTAGAAACAATATACTTGAATAAATCAAAAAATATTTGGATTTAACAAGGAACTAATGTTTGGACACGGTTTATTGTGAAGAACCACCCTTCGCAACAAAACCAAAAAAAGTATCGAACAAACCTTTTCTTCCTTTTTCTTTTTCTTTTCAAAATCTTCAAGAGTTAATTCCTTTCCATCTGATGTTGCTGCAGCTGCCACCTATTAGAAAGTCAAGTCACTCTAAAACCAAAAACACAATAAAGAAAACCAAACAGAAAATTTGATTCTTACCATCATCGTATCGGCTGTAGAAGTGAAAATACAATGGCGCATAAGAGGACGAAGAATCCGCGGCTGATGGAGGAGGTTGACTCAGTCTAGGAGGCCTTGACAAGACCTAAGGCAAGCCATTAGGAGACAAAACTTTTAGCTTCTTATTGGTGTGCCATGATGAACGAAGAAAGCATGCAGACCCTCATGACAATAGAGATTCAGCAAAATATCCACCCCAAAAAAATATTTACCAAAAAACACACAAAGTAATGAAAATTCACAGTGCTACAAAATTATGAGCTCACTTTACAAAACAGTCCATATCCAAAAGAAAAAATAAAGTTAAATAATTCAAAAGCACAATAACAAAAGCTTCACTTTTTTAACCAAGACCACTCAAAGAGAACGAACAGATACTCGCACTGTCAACCCCACAACAACATCAAACCTTTCGGAACAAAAGACTAAAAGCTTCAGAGCTCTTTATTGGGTCCTCCATGACAAAAGAACAAAGAATACCTAAACCTAACATTAATAGAAATTCAAACACACACACATAATCTTTAGAAAAACACTGAATCATTAGAGCTACCTTAAAATTAACAAATAAAGGAGAAGAAAGAACCTGGGAGGCGAAATTACTCTGTTCGTAAATTGTAACTATGCTGGCTGTTGCAGAAGGAGGAAACCAACTCTGCAACTCCGTTTGTAAATATGCTGGCTGTCGCGTGTAAAGGAGCATATTTATAATCTCTTTGCTTGAACCGACATTGTGGCCTTGACAAAGGCTAAAGGTCGAAATTACAAATTCTCGCTAATACAAATCCAAAAGCTAACTGGTCGGTTTAAAAAAGGAAATTTGGCACCGGGTTAGAAGGCACCCAATTAATTGGCGTAAAAAAAACTAAAGGTGATATGTGGCCGGGTCGGGCCGGGTTGCTTAAAAAAGTGACTGGCCGGTCATCAATTTGGGCCGATTTCGGTTTTTCCCAACCGATTTTATCGAGTTCGGGCCCATCGGGTGATTTAATGAATCAAAACGGTTACGGGCCTATGGGATCGGGCCGGGTTATTTGTAAAAAAAAAATATATTTTGTATAACTACCGTAATTTATATTAAGATAAAGTAAAAATATAAAACAAAAAAATAATCTTATAAAAGGAGTATTTGAATAAAGGATGCAAAGGCTTTAAAATCCTTATATTTGAATATTCCATTAGAATTTAAAGATAATAGAATACAATGAAGATGAAAAAAAATTGCATTTATAATTTGCAAGTTCTTTTTTTATTTCAAACTTGTTGTGAGCACCTAATTTTTGCCTATATTTGAATTTTTATCAACTTCTACTATGTAAATATTTTTAGAAATTTAATATATATATATATTTTTTTAGCTTTGTTATATTTTTTTAGGGTAAAAATTAATAATAATTTAAAAGGTCAATTATTACTATTAGTATTATTTTTATTTTTATTTTTATCTTTATTTTATATAAAATAAATTAAAAATCATTTAAAAAAATATTAATTAATTAAATTTTTTTAAAAAAATATTAATTAATTAAATTTTTTTAAAAAAATTTCGGATGGGAATTAAAAAAATAGTAAAAGTAGAAATATAAAATTAAAAAATAAAATTAAAAGTAGGTAGAAATTATTTAATAAAAAAGTAAAAGAAAGTGAAAAATTAAAAAAATAAAAGTAAAAGAATGTAAAATTTTAAAAAAATATAAAGTTGGAATTAAAAAATAAGTGTAAGGGTATCTGAATTTGTTTTAATAAAAGTAAAAGTAAGTGAAAATTTTTAAAAAAAAGTAAAATAAGTGTGAATTAAAAAAAGAAAGTAAAAAAAGTGAGATTTTAAATATATTAAAAGTAAAAAAAGTGAGAAATTAAAAAATAAAAGCAAAGGAAAGTGGGAATTTTTTTTTTTTTTAAATAAGAAAAATGGGAAGTGAAAATTCTTTTTAATTAATAAATAAAATAAAAAAAAAATCTGAAAATTCCGAAAAATTTTCTATAAATAGAAGAGAAATGTGAGGGGGAAAAAAGGGGGAGAGAAGAAGGGAAAAAAAGAGGGAGGAAGGAATTGAGAGGAATTTATTTTCTTCTTCTAGGATAAGGAAATTTCTACTCGTGTCATTCTTTTTTCGTCTTTCTTTCTAAAAATCCAGCAAAATCATCCCCCCCAAAAAAATAGCTTTAAACCCAGCAAAAACAAGTCACTAAATCACCGGTTTTGCAAGGTCGATGAGAGTTGCAAGTCGCGATTTTTTGTTTGAGGTTTCGTGGCCGGTGAAAGCTCTAGTCAACACTCGTCGAATTGTTTAGCGCTCTTGTAATTTCAACTCTGTTAATTTATATCAGGGGTCTGTTATTTCCCTTTCTTCACTGATTATAATTGTCCATTTACCTTCTTGTCTATTGGTGTGATTATTGGGTAGCATGAAGTAGTAGTTCACTCTATTGATATTTGGATCATTTGAATCTGATTGTTTCCTTGTTCATATGTTTATTGGACCATGATGTTAATTTTAGAGTTACAAAGTTTTGTTTTGAGTTGATTTAACCGGATAAAGGGTCTATTGAATCACTGTAATTTGGCTTGTTTACTAATTTTGTTCATGAGATTGTGGTGTTATTAGTTTTGTTTAAGAAATGTACAGAATATGAATTATTGGGTTGGATAATTTGCTTGGGCCACGATTTATTTCTAAGGAAATTGATTTTTGGGTTGTTGGAGAAGAAAAGATTTTGGGCCAAAAGATTTAGTCTCATCAGGCCCAAAGTAATAAATAACATAGCTGACCCATCTTTGTCTAAACTAGCCCACTTTTCTATAAATAATAAATTCAATTCTTTCACAAATAATTCTATACCTCACGACCTTACAATAATCTCAAATTAGTAATTGAATAATATTCGAACATCGTATCTTGCTTTATGCGCGATTAATAATAAATCATCGTAATTGTGGGTACGGTTCCCGTGGCATGGTCACGATACGTAATCCCCAATTCGAGTGTGTGTTTCACGTGACTCGACCACAACTTCAAACAATAATAAATAAAATTAAACACGTTGTAGATTGCGGGTACGTTTCACGTGACGCGATTTACGATGTGTATAAACAACAAGTGTACGACAACGTAACTCGTCTCATATTAGTTCCATAAATAATTAATAGCGATTAAAAGTATAAAAAAATGCACAATAGGTTTTAAGCATGTAATAAATCACATAATTAGACTAATTATTAATAATTGAGCGACCGTGCTAAAACCACAGAACTCAGGAGTGCCTCACACCTTCTCTCGGGTTAACAGAATTCCTTATCCGGTCTTCTGTGTTCGCAAACCATAAATAAGAGTCAATTTTTCTCAATTTGGGATTCTAAAATAAATCGGAGACTTGGAACACCATAAATTATTCCAAGTGGCGACTCTGAATAAATAAATAATCTCATTTCGAATAATGTCACTTAAATTGGAAAAACTCCCTATCCCTTATCCCCTCGGGAAAAAGGAGGTGTGACAGCTCTGGCGACTCTGCTAGGGACTAGAACCCAGAATCTCTAGTTCATGGTTCATAATTCGAGCTTAGATGACTTTTATACTTGACTTTTGTTTATTATCTGATTTTTTACGTGTTTGAGCCTAATGTGTTAAATGCCGCTTTTTACCGCTTTGAACTTTTGTGAACTATATATAAATTGTTACGAAAACCCTTCTTCTCTCTGAGTCTTCTAAATCTTCTGGGAAGCGTGCGCTTCGCGTGACTTCTTTTCTGTTAGAGTCATACCCTAATTCTGTATTCCCGGTACGTTGCCCCTCCCTCCCCCCGGCTCGAGTTGTCCGCTCGGGTAAGCCAGGTCTAGAATAATACACCCAGGATTTAAACTTAGAATGACATAATCTCATGTCGAATCCTTAGTAGGTACGTTTGCATCACGTGCATTTGAATTTGGGAACTCAACACAGGGGTTGGGTCCGTCTTGGACATGTGTACCCAAATCAAAAGACTATCCTGATGCATTTTTACGTGCTACTTGTGCATTAATTTATTTCGTCTTGTATGTTGACCGGTTTCTAGAATAGGGAAAGAAAATCAAGAAAAACCAAGAGTGAGGTAGGAAAGAAAAACGCCCGGTTCTGACAATCCCGGTATTTAAAATATCCTGAAACTCTGCCGAAATTTTGAAAAAAAAAAAAAAAAGAAGTAATTTCAAAATAAGTCATACTTTCCTATGCATCAAAACTTACCGAACTACGCGGGTCTGATTCTCATCGGATGTGAGATACGTAGGCAAACCTCATCGGTTCCGACCCCAATTTTCAAAAATCCAAAAATATTTTCTACCTTTTTTTTAGAAGTCTTTCTCCTAAAACATTCAAAAAAATATTTTCTTACTTTTCAAAAATTCTAAAAAAAAAAATAAAGAAATCAAAATCAAAAAAATATTTTCTTTCTTCTTTATAAGTCTTTCTTTCGGAAATTAAACAAAAAAAAAAACAAATTCAAAAATATAAATAAATAAAGAGTTAGTTTATTTACTTTATTCCTAATCTTCCTTAACTACGTAATGATCTGATTCATGCGGCGTCATGATACGTAGGCAATCCCCGTCGGAGTTGATCATAGCGATAAACAAATTGAGTGAAAAAATAAACCGAAAAAATAATTGAGTGAAAAAGAAAGAAAATAGTGACAAAAAATAACAGAGAAAAACAAAATATAAAGAGAAAGAAAAAGAAATCAAGATATGAAAAAAAAAAAAAAAAAAGGAAAAAAAAAAAGAGTCTCCCCATATGGAATCAGTTCACCCCTATTGGTGAATCATACTCAAGCTTATTCTAAAAGCTAATTAGACTAGGTCTACTGCAGCCATTAGCCCCGAACCGGCCAAACCCTGAGTCCCCCTCGCACCGAGCTGATGCTAGATGTGAATACCACTCTGGAGCAGTGGGACACGGTACAGAGGACTGTTGGACCCTCAAAAGGGTAGTTGAAGACTTGATTGAAGATGAAAGAATCTTTCTTCGAAACGAATAGGCCCCTAATATGATGAACAATCCTCTACCTACTCACACCAATGGGCCAGTAGTCGGAATGATTTGTGAAGATGAGGAATTTGATCCAGCACTGAAGGTCATTGCAGCCATTATCGAGACAGAAGAAAAGCCAAAAAACAGTCACCAAGCCTGAAAGTTCCCCATCAGACGGGAATCTCGATAGCTAGTCTTGCTATCCTTTCTGCTTCCGGATTATCTCAGGGTGTGATCCGGATATTTTACTTTATTGTCTTACTTTTCGATGTAAACCCTTCTATCTTCAAAATTCAAAATTCAAATAAATAAATAAAAAAAGCAAAACCACAACAACAAAAAAAGAATAAAATAATTAAATGAAATTAATATTTCATTGTCTAGGAATGTCTATTTTTTTTTTTAATCTTGTTACTTTTCTTATTCTCTTTTCAGTTCTGTTCATGCAGATTTTAATAACATGACATGCTTGCGGACTTCATGACTAGATCCTAAAACTCTGTCAGACTTCGAAATAATGAATCAAGAAGCAGAATGCAATGAAGATGAGGTTAAGGAAATAAAACAAAAATTCGGAACATTATGAGAATAAGCCTATGCCAAGCCCGATTGAAACCTGCAGAAGTTGAAATTCCATCTCTCTGGGTCATTGTCGAAACCGAGATTGAGGATAAAGATTGGGTCACGAACCGATTGGAACAATTGACACTGATTGATAAAAAATGACTGGCCGCAATTTGCCACGGGCAATTGTACCAACAAAGAATAGGTAGTGTCTACAAT